ATAAATAAATAAAATCTTTAAAAAAAAAAAAAGAGTTTCAGTTCGGGAAGCTGAGAAAGTTCTAGACACGGATGGTGGTGCTTGTCGCACAACAGTGTGAATGCACTTACTGCCACTGAACTGCACACTTCCAAACGGCTCTGATGCTGAATTTCACATTGTATATCTTACCGCTTAAATGTGACCACTAAGGAAATCTGCATAACGTAGGGACGTCAGGGAGTAATAATGTATCAATACTGCTTCATCCATTGTAACAATATTATCTATTCTTTGTAATTATATGTTAATAACTCAATATTATTACGGTATGCAATCTGAGTTTTACTCTGGGTGGGCTGGTGGGCTGCTGGCGTGAGGGGCATGAGTAGAGGTGGCCATGCTTCCGTACCCATCACACAGGCTGCTGGGGGCTCACAGAGGCAGGACGAGAGCCGGGAGCATCCAGCAGCTCCGCTCCCAGAACACAAAGAACTGCGAGCACTCCTGAGCCAGCCGGGGTGGCCGTGCTGGGGTGTGACATACCGGGTGCACTTTGGAAGGGTCATCGAGCTCCAGCCTGGCCACCACACAGCCTGCTTCGAGCATGGCCCCCGGGCGCTTGATGTACTTCACCCGGCCGCTTTCCTGCACGTTCAGGGTCATGATCATCTTCATTACCTGTTTTGCAGGAAGGAGAAATCAGACGAGCCCAGCAGAACTGGCTTGTGTGTGTGTGACAAGCAGAGTCCCCCAGAACTAGGACTCTGGAGCAGCAGGTGCTTGGTCATTTAAATAGAAGGACTCCCTGGGCAGAGTTCAAGTGTAAAGGAGGGAGGGAACTCGCATTTGCCAGAAGCCTGCTGTGTGCTAGGCTCAGTGCTGTTCATGAATTATTTCCATCTGCGAAGCCAGCAAGGGAGGCAGGTTATTTATTGTACCCATTTCACAGGCATGGAAACTGATCTGTATTTGTAAAGTAAAGCCTCTCTCTTAGAAATACTGTTAAATCATCCTGTGTGGGGGTGCTTAACACACACATTCCAAAACATGGTGCATTTTGTCGCTGGCTCCTTTTTTAAAGGCAGTGAGAAAACCCTCTGGGGAACCTTTGGTGAAATGAAGAATGTGCTCCCTGTACCTCTCTGAGAGTCTGCATGCATGGACGTGATGCATTTGGTTACCACGGTGTGGGCTACAGTCAGGACTGCGCTCCTCTTGCTCAGTGGTTCACAGCTTGGGCACCCAAGACAGAGCTGGGCTGGAACCCCAGCGTGCCACCCATCCTTCTGTGACCTCCAACAGGTGCCTTCCCCTCTCTGAGCCTCAGTTTCCCCTACTGTCGAATGGGGAAGAATGACAGTCTCACCTCATAGGGCTCTTATAAGGGCTGCTCAGGAGGAGCCCGGTGCATGGCGGGAGGCCGGCAAGCGTGAGCTCCTACTGCTGCCGTATTTTCATTGTCGATAATTATCATTATTATTGACCCTGGCAGCATGGAATGGAGGCCAGGTGTGAACCCCAGCTCTGGGGGACCTTGAGTTCCTTAGCCTGCCTGGGCCCCGTTTCTTCACGTGTAAAATGGGGATCCTATCTGTGCCCATCTCCTGTGATTGCTGGGAGGATGACAGAAGGTAATCAAACAGGTAAAATATCTAGAATAGCACCTGCACGTGCCAAGCGCTTTGTAAGTGTCGGCTTACAGCTTTTTCAATCACCGCCATGGTTATTCCTAAGCCGCCCTTCCTCGCTCCTACGGAGGTGTACATTTTTGAGGTTTCCCCACACAGTGGCCCTCTGAGGAATCGGCAGATGGTGGCCCAGGGGAGAGGGGAGGCCCGCCGGCTTGGGTCCAGGGGTGCAGGTGCAATGCGGGAGGGATGGCCCTTCCTCGGGGAGGGGAGTGGAGGGCCGGCCCCGTACTCACCTCCATGTCGGCGTAGCTGCTCCCAGCCTCAACGTGGCCCCCGTCCTCCACCATGTACTGCATTAGCTTCCCAGCCGAAGGGGCTCTCAGGACCGTGGGATCGTTCTCCTTCTCAAAAACACACGTCTTGTTGCCGATGGTAATACGGTAGCTGGGAGACAGAAGGGGCGGGCAGGTGGACGGAGGACCATCAACCCAGCGTGCCCAAGTCTGGCTTTCGACAGTGTTTTCCCCTTCCTTAAGGCAGCCCAGAGTGTCCTCCCACCCTGTGTGTGATCTGCGGGATTCCACTTGCCCAAATGCCAGCGTCTGACGGTTACCGCAGAGATACTGGGAATGAATGGGGTGAACAAAGGGTATGACCCTTTTCCCGCTGAAAACCAGTTCCTTTTACTGATACAATTCTAAGAGGCATGAAGAAGGCCATCGATATTATCTGAAAAATATTTACCAACTTTAAGCCTTCACCTTATAACTGAACTGGGGAGAGTATGTCCCTGGGGCTGGGGAGGGGGGAAGCCTATCATAATCTTGAATATTCTTGGCAGACAGAACATGGCTGAAAAAGAGGTGATAAAACAGTGCTCTGGCTGGGATGAATCCAGTCTGCCTTCTTCCAAAACTTCGAGGTTCGGGAAGGGAGACAATTCTCTAAGTGGAGCTGTTGCGGGCATGGGGTCTGTGGTGCACCCCAGCCCACCGCCACCCCCAACTCCCGCCTGACTCTCCTTGGCTGGAGGCGGGGAAGAAGTCTGTGCTGCCCGCTCAGCCCGGCTGGTCTACACTTCATTGTACGTATGAGCTCTGTGTGGTCAGATGCACTGGAAAGGGAGGGTCTTTGCGGGGGGCGGGGGGGATCTCATGGTGCCTCCATGCTAAGTGCTTCCAGGGCATCCTACATTTCGCTTATCCAGGTGCACAGTGACCGGTCCTGCCCCTTCTGCTTGCTGAATGCGTCATGTTCGCCAACATGACCGTGGTCTTATCCCAATACCTAGCCCTGTGCCCGGTACAAGTAGCTGTCGCCCTAACTGGATGGCTACATCTCCTCCAGGCCTGAGCTCAGATGGCTGTGGCCACTGCAGCTCAGACAAGCAGCAGCTGACACGCTGTCCCACGCCTCGCAGGCCCTGGAGCTGGGAGTCACGGCCCATTCGGCTCTGGACCCTCCCACATTACTAGGAGCGGGCCTCTTGGGAACCTCCCCAAAACGGCTGCCAGTTTTGTGGATGTCCAGCCAAGAGATTAACCTCTCCACGGGCCCCAGAATTTGCTGGAGAAGGTACTTTATCTAAGACCCCTGGGCTGCACATAACTGGCTTTCTATCTTTGAGCCCCACGGGAAAGTGTGGCTCTACGTCACGCGCCCTCCCCCCACCTCCACGTACCTGTCAAACTCTTCTTTCATGTAGGTGGTATAGCTGTTACCATTATAGGACAGTAGCAACCCCCCGTCGCTTAGCCGGTGGGCGTCGATCTCGATGTGACAGTCGTTCATGATGAGGATGAACATGGTCAGAGATTGCCGGGCCACCTGCGGGGACAGGCTCAGTGTCCCTGCCTGAATTCAGGAGGCCTGCTTGTCCCTGGGCCCCAGAGCACCATCTTCCCCCCCCGGCCCCACCATCACCACCGGGAACAAGGGCTAGTGGGGGGCGGTGGCTAATGGCCACCAGCTGCGGGTGTAGTTCAGCCTGCTCATCTCCTGCCAATCACATGCCCTTCTCATTCCTGCCTCTAAGCATCAGCCCCAAGCAGGGCCACCCTGAGCAGCAGGGAAGGTGGGGGTAGGGGGGAGTGTCTCACTGTGGCTGAGACAGCCCTGGAAACTCCACCAGTGACCAGGATTCCGCCCTCCCCAGACCCAGCTCTGCCCAAGGGCACATGAGACATTTGGGAGCCTCGAGAGAGGCACAGGTGGCCAGGCCCTGACCTCAGCTCTGCACTTTGATCTGACATACTAGCCCTGGGTTCACTGTGGGTGCGCTCGCTCAGAAAACAGAACACCCTAAAGAGCCCTTCACCTCTAAGATACATATGTTGAGACAAGAGGTAGCAAGAAACCGAGGAATGTTTATTGCAACATTATTCATGGTAACAGTAAGACTGAGACACAAACTAGCTATCCTACAACCTTGCAGTGGAATACTCTAGACCCGCACTGTCAAACAGAGCAGCCTGGACCTAGGCTCTGGCTATTTACGTGTAAATTAATTTAACTTAAATCATATATAAAATTCAGTTCCTCGGGGCTTGGTAGCCACAAGTGGCCATACTGGAGAGCACAGATACAGAACATTTCTGTTCCTACGGAAAGTTCCATTGGACCGTTGGCTCTAGACATCAAACTGATATTAAGAAAACTTGATGGGGCGCCTGCGTGGCTCAGTCGCTAAGCGTCTGCCTTCGGCTCAGGTCATGATCCCAGGGTCCTGGGATCGAGCCCCACATCAGGCTCTCTGCTCCGTGGGAAGCCTGCTTCTCTCTCTTCCCACTCCCCCTGCTTGTGTTCCCTCTCTCGCTATGTCTCTCTCTGACAAATAAATAAAATCTTTAAAAAAAAAAAAAAAAGAAAACTTGTTAATAGCACGGGAAAACTTTATGCCATGATAACATCAAAGCAGTAAAACAGAATTCGCACCATGATCTCAACTTTGCAAAATCAGTGCGTAAGGAACAAAGAATTAGAAGACATGTGCTGAAACGTTAATGGGGATTGCCTCCCAGGGTCAACACACGATGGGTTTGTTCTTCTGATGCTTTATGCTTTTTTGAAATTTTTAAATTTTATACAGTAAGCATGTGTCATATTTAAAATCACGCTGGAGGAACTAGGCCCCCAAAACAGCCAGGAAGCATGGAGGGGTAAAGAGGAGTGGTTTTATGGCAGGCTCCCATGGAGAACATGCTTGTTTGACTACACCAACCCTGAAAATCCCCAAAGCTGGAAGTGTAACATGTGCTCAGTCATCTTAAAAATAAAGTAACAGAACATAAAAATTCTGCCTCAAAGGCAGACTTGAGTTCTGTTATCTTTTCCCTCCTGAGAAGGAGGCCTTCGCTTCTTGGGGATACTTGGCCCCCACGGGTCACCCTGACCTGGACCCAGGGCCTGATCCTGTGCCCACACATCTCAGATACTCTGATATTCTCTGCTGAAATGACCTCAGATGCCCCAGGAAGGGTAACTGGATACTTCTGACAGAGGACAGCAATGCCGAGTAAACCCCCAGGGAAGCCCAAGGTGGGCCAGGGAGAGATCAGAAAGCCATACGTTGACCTTTGGTGCAGACACACAGGACAGAGCTGGCCTCACGGCCCCTGGAAACAGACCCACACACTATGCTGGCTCAGCAAAGGTCCTGCTCACGCTCCGTACTGGACTGGCTATCATGCCCCCAAATTCATGTCCTTCCGGGCACCTCGGCGTGTGACTTTACTTGGAAATAGTGTCTTTGCAAATGTAGTTAGTTAGATGGGGTAGGGTGGGAATTTAGGAATGCGATCTGAGTGGTGTTCTTCAGAGCAGAGACACACAGAAGGAAGACAATGTAGATACACACACACACGCACACAGAAAAGGCAGCATATGAAGCCAAAGGCATGGCTTGGAGTGACAGTCTACCAGCCACGGAACACCAAGGGCGGCCCCACAACCACCAGGAGCTAGGAAAGCATGAAACAGATTCTTTCCTGGAGACTTCAAAGAGACCAGGGCCCAGCTGACACCTTGATTTTAGACTCTGGCCTCCAGACTCTGAGAGAACACACTTCTGTTGTCTGAAGCCACCGGCTCATGGTACTTTGCTACCTGAGCCCCGGGATACGAATACATGCTCTGCTGTACGCTGTGCGTATTGCTCAAGCCTGCATGGGCCAAAACCCAAAGTGCTTAGGTTTCAAGGGCACGGGACTGCCTGGGGAGTCCCGGGACCCATGTACGAGCAAGTCCACTCCAGAAAGAAAAACTCCCACCAGCCTCCAGAGTGCTGGAGACATCAGAGAAACCCGGGGCCTTCACCTTGAGGATGTACTTAACACCTCCATAAATTAATTCCACATCCACGATGTTCAGCAGAGAAGCTGCAGGAAGGACCTGGCCCCTGAAAGAAAAGACAGACTCGCGGTCGGCTGTGGGAATGAACGAGAACGCTAGGGCCACCCTCTGGATTTAAACAAATCACCCAGCTCTTTGCCTCGCCTAAGCACCGACACACCCGGCTCTATTTAAAAAGCTAAATCCGATGAAAAGGCACGGAACGGGACGTTGCTCAGCACTTAAGGGAACAGCACTTGCTGAAGGGTGAGAAATTTCAAAAGGGCTTTCCAGGAAGCAAAATCCCGTAACGCCCGTTCTCGGAAAAAACTCCCCACGTGGGAAGGAAAGCGACACATGTACTGCGACTCTATTAGTCTGCATTAGCACAATGACCACATGCTAACGGCTCTTGTCTTTTTAAAGTTGTTTCGGTAGCTTCATTTGCCCATCACAGTGTCTCTGGGGGTGATTCCTGCCTCTACCCCAGGACATTTGGCCATGTCTGGAAACATACTTGATTGTGGTGACTCCTGGCGGAGAGAGGGGGGACTCCTGCTAACTTCCCACAGTGCACAGGACAGCCCCCGTAATAAAAAAAAATCAATCCGCTCAAAATGTCAAGGGGGCCGGGGCTGAGAAATGCTGGCCCATCCTAAGAGTGAGCACCCAGCTGCTTCTGGGCTGGTCCACTTCACCAGCCACGCCTGACTCAGGCGAGGGTCCAGAAGGAACATTTGCAGAGCTGACCTAGCACCCGCTTTGCTTCTCAAATCCACCTCCCCTCTGAGCTCAAGCACTATGGAGTACCTTACACAAGTCAGCATGAATAAGCCCACAGCGGCTTATCTACCGGCTGCCTGGAGAACTCCCCCCCTCCGCCGGTGGCCTCCTCCCAGGCAGCCTCGGTTCAGAGGCGAAGAATTTCAGAGGTAAGCACACAGGAGGGACTCCCTAATTGTCCGCTGGCTGGTTATCTGCCTCACTTGCCACTAACACGCATCCCACGGTGCGGGGGCGGGGGGGGAATTACCCTTGCACCCTACCTTTCCAGCGAGTGTAAGAAATCCGTCATGCATGTTCTGAACATCGCGTCGGCCACGTTCAAGGCTCCGCACACCACCCCAAGCATGATATCCGGCTTCTCGGCCTAGGAGAGACTCCATGCTTCAGTGTTGGTGGTGACCAAGCCCACAGAGAGGTGGGAGGTGGGGGAGAGGGGGCTCCGTGACCCCGAGGGGAGAAGCGTGCAGCTCCCCACCTGCACTTTCTCGGCGATGAGGTGATCCAACCAGCCTGTGTCGATGTCGTTGTTCTGGAAGCGCTCGGTCTCCAGCAGGTTGATGAGATACTCCACGGTGGTCCTGAAGTCGCCCCGGATGGACAGTTCCTTCAAAGCCACCACCATGTTCCTTGAGGGGAAAGGCACATGGATTGTTTTCCAAATTAATACACGTGTCAACAGAGCTCCTGCCTGGTTCTCAGGGAGCCCAGAATAGCACAGCTGAGAGAGGGGCCTGAGTCCAGCAGCCCATCTGTCAATCTCGGCTCCAGCATTTGCTGGTCAGGCAATCTTGGGCAAGTGACTTAACCGCTCTGGGACTCAGTTTCCTCATCTGGAAATCGGGGAAATAACCCTAACTTCACACGGGTGCTGGAGGATTAAAATGAGACAATCCATATAAAGCGCCTAGTCACTGATAAATAAGGTCAGCTGCTATGAACATGATTAATGACCGTGATTGTAATTATTATTAACCACTGCCGGTCGCTCTGCCTCTCTGCAGCTGGACCTACTCAAATCCCCGTATCCCAGAGCAGGTGCCACCCCCTGGCTGTCCACATAGCTGCTCTGCGGGGTATGCACGAGGTGCATCTACGGAAGGCCAACGCTGTTACCCCACCCAGGGTGTGGCGGTCACCTGTCCGCATGTGCTTGGTTGGTCACCACCTCCTATTTCCCAGAGGGGTGGCCTCTCCCCAAAGAGGGCTTCAGTCCAAAGGGCTGAAGCCCCCACTTCCTAGGAAATAACAGGGAGAGTGTTTTGTACCATAGAAAGAGGCATTAGAACCATTCCCTACCTGGGAGAGGAGAGCTTTTACACCTGTCATGACGTTCCTGCGTGCATTCAGCAGGTGTGGCAAAGGGGCAAGAACAACCCCAGCTCGGGGCCAGGGAAATAAAGATGCAGTGAGGTCAGATGAGCACGTCAGTAGTCTCGGGAAAGTCAGGTGCGGCACGGGAGTCTGCATGTAAGCATCAAGCTATTGGGCTCAAGGGTGACCAACTTGTCCCAATTTGCTCAGGATGTGCCCAGTTTTAGCAGTGAGAAATCCCAAATCCTGGGACACCCTCAGTCCCGGGGAAGCTGGCACAGCTGATCCCCCTATAAGACCCTATGAGCGGCGCCTGGGTGGCTCAGTCGGTTAAGTGGCCGACAAGATTTCTGCTCAGGTCATGATCTCACGGTGGTGAGATCCCCCGCGTTAGGCTCTGTGCTCAGTGGGGAGCCTGCTTAAGGTTCTCTCCCTCTCCCTCTGCCCCTCCCCACTTGTGCTCTCTCTCAAAAAAAAAAAAAAGCCAGAATTTTTCCCTCTGAATTCTTTTAAGGTCCATACTGGTCATTCCCAGCATAGGACGAGCCACAGGCCATTTCCATCAGAGATCAGAGTGGGCTGGAATGGCTAGTCTCCCTCCCCTTTCAAGTTTTCACTCAGCATGATTAAAACTAATTACATAAAGCTGGGAAAGAAAGCCCACTCATCAAAATCACCCAACTCAATTTAATTCATGAACTAAGTGCCCTAGTGGCTAGATTTTAATGCTTTTTATTATGTTTTAAATTTTTTAAAAAGATTAAAAAATTTTTTTTTTTACAGAGAAAGACAGAGAGTGAGGGGGTCAGAAGAGAGAAAATCCTAAGCAGGCTCCATGCTCAGCAAGGAACCCCATGCAGGGTTTGATCTCATGACCCTGAGATCATGACCTGAGCCAAAATCAAGCCAGATGCTTAACCAACTGAGCCAGCCAGGCACCCCTAAAGATTTTATTTTAAAGTAAGCTGTACACCCAATGTGGGGCTTGAACTTACAATTCCGAGATCAAGAGTTGCATGCTCTACCAACTGAACCAGGCAGGCGCCCCGATTATAATGCTTTTTAAACAACATGTCCACAAAGTCTTTGGGGTTTTTCACTCTAAACACGAGAATGTTCAAACACAAGAATGTTTAATTACAAAGTTAGTTGCTTTTTACCTTTTTGCACTCAGGGCAAGGCAGGAAAAATGGAAGATGGGGGTGTGTTTGGATTTGGGAACCCCTTTGTCAATGTGGGTTTCTCCAGGACCTACTTATAAGGTTTAAATTTAAAGAAGTCCCCCCCCACACACCTTTTTTCTAAAAAAGCTCTAGTACTTGGCACCTTTTAAATTGTGGAATCCCCTCGAACATTCTTTGGATCTCCCCCAAGTGCGAGCTGTAATGAGCTCAGGACCAAATGACCTTGGTGAGCTCATGAGCTCCCTTGACTTCATGGATCTCAGATACAGGAAGAGGACAGACTTCGCCCTTGGACTTCAGCAAAGGGCATTTAAGACAGGGTCTGCTCTGTGATTCACTCCTTTACCTCCTGACGTACTGCTGCCTCTGAGCCCCAGGCTTTTAGCTTCTGGAAGGAAGGAGGGAAAGAAGGAGGGGAGCAGGGAGATACTAACGAAATGGCCTCTTCCCGGTTCTCTCCCCAGGAGAAGCAGTGCCCGAACTGGGAATCAGCAAATTCGTGTAAGCCACCAGCAGCCGCCACGCTGAAATAACCCCACACGTTCTTGTTGCTCCGGAAATTCAGTTCCTGAACCGTTCCAGAGCTTGGCTTAAACCCCTAGAGTCAGAACAGCAAAAGCAAAGTTGGGGGGAGGGCGGGGAATCATCACACCAGATATATTTGCATCAGAATTAAATCCTAGACAAACCCAAGAAGAACCCCCACCACAACCCAAAGCTTCATGTGATCAATAGAACGTTGATCTCTCTCACTAGGGGTGAGGGTGTACCCATGTCAAGACATTCATGCATGCATGTAATTATTACTTAAAAAAAAACTATAAAAATAAATAACCATGTTGGGATGGGGGAGGAGGTACAGAAACAATAGGGGGGAATGCCGTTCACTGATGGAACTGAGTGAAAGTTCATTCTGGTTTCATAAACTTGACATTGTCAGTCATAAAAAGTTTAAATGAAAGAGAAGAGGGGTTGGATTTCGAATTCCGGGATTATGAAAAAGCCAGGAGATAAAGCAATGTGATGCGAACACACACCTAATTTGCTTATGGGGGGTGGGGGTGGGGCAGAAGGCCCATCCCCCTGAGTATAATTTTGGTAAGGGGGGTGGACGTGGACCCTCTCGCTGGGATTAGGGCTCTGGACGTGTGTAGTGGAGGCATCCATTTTGAGAGATGGAGAATTCCAGGTGCCCGGGCTATTTCCACTCCGAGTCCCTTCGTCCTCCCCAGCACCTGTAGACAAGCCATCATCCCCCTAAAAAATTCCCATTTCGCTTGTCCACCACCAGAGTCCATTGTTTGCAGCCAAAGATGCCAAGCTGATAGAGCTACCATAGCTTACAATTCTTTAATTAAAAGGGGAGGAGGGGGAGACGAACCTCTCATCCCAAATTTCTTGAATGTAATCATTGAACAATGAGGTTGTGGTAGGTTATGGAGATGATGTAACAGTCATCCGTAAGTAAGCATGTGAGACACCAGCTGGCTGGTTTCTCGAGGCACAAAGAAGAACAAGTCACAAAGGAACTCCTTACAAGGGACCAGACTCCAGGAAAGAGTACAGGGAGGGGGGCGGCAGAAAACCAAGGACCCGGGTTCTAAAGCTGGCTGCTTGTCCCAAAGATGGACGTAGCGCATAGGGTCCAACCGTGGGGCTCAGTCACGGCCTCAGCAGGTCGGAGGCACAAAGCAGGAGACTAACCTCTCGAGCTGTCCTGTCCATGAGCAACGAGAGGCACGAAGGATCTGCCCCGGTGCCTGGCACACACTTCCCGTCAATAAACCACTGCCTTCCACGCCACGGTTTCCCCGTCTGTACTCGGAGAAGCCTGGGCGTCTCATCCAAAGCTAACGTTCGGGCTCTGCCCCACACCGGGAGCCTGGGAATGGCAGGCGTGGGGGCCCCGCAAAACTTGCCTCATCGGGGTTCTCACTGGTGATTCTGGCCGCGATGACATGGCCTCGGGCGAGCGGAGGGTTGGCAGGAGTGTCAAACGAAATGGGCGTCACCCCCCACGGTGACTCCCCGTAGAGAAGCCGGATATCCTTGAGCCGGGGCAGCGGCACCCCCATGGCAATCTGAAATGAAGAAATCCACCCCGCGGACTGTCAGTCCCCACGAGCACCCTGGCCCCCAGACATGGAGCGCACTGCTGGACGCCCTGGAGGAGGGGTGCAGTGAATGATCTCAGGTATCCTGAGCACCTGCTGAGCACATGACACTGTGCCACATGGTGGCGGGAGAAGCAAAGCAAGAGAAAGACAGAAGGGACGCCTGGGTGGCTCAGTCAGTTGAGCATCTGCCTGCGGCTCAGGTCATGATCCCGGGGTCCTGGGATCAAGCCCCGCCTCGGGCTCCCTGCTCTGCGGGAGGCCTGCTTCGCCCTCTTCTCCCTGCTCCTCCCCACTTGTGTGCTCGCTCACCTCCCTCCCTTGTGCTCTCTGTCACTATCTTTGTCTCTCTCTCTCTCAAATAAATAAATTTAAAAATCTTTTAAAAAAATA